AGAGGCTCAAGCGGTGAGGAGGGGAGCAGGCCGGAGCCCACTTAGGGCTGCAGTTCTTAGCAGCTTTGTGGAGATGCGAGTCCCACCCTGCACGCCCACCCCCCAGAAGGACCCTGCGGTGGTGTTGAGCGTCCTGGCAGCGGTGTGGTTCCCGAATGTTCCCACCCTCCATGCCCACGCCAGCCGCCCCAGCCCCCGCTGTGGTTTCTCTTAGAGAACTTTGTTTCAGATTATAGGATGGGCATATTTATTCAATGGCTTGAAGTATATAAATATTTATAAAATGTGACTATAAGTAAATATGGCCCTTATTTAGAGAATGTTGACAAACGAGGAAATCTTTTAATTTGGAAGTGAGTTTTTTTTTTGGAGTCCAATAAATTTTATTAGTCTCACTTTTTGATTCTTTTTTTCCCTTTTCTCTTCCCCTCCCTTGAACTCCCTTTCCTTTCCATATTTACAAAATCATTGTTTCTGTTTTTCCTTTTCCCTTCTTTCCCCCTCCCTCTCCCAAGTTCCCCTGCCCATTTGAACATTTTCTTCTTATTTCACAATAGGAAGTACAGGTGACAAATAAGTATATGAAAAAATGTTCAACATCACTGGTCATTTAAGAGATGCAAGGTAAAACAATGGTGAGATCCTGCCTCTCCCCAGAAAGAATGGCTGCTATCAAGAAATCAACCAATAAAAATGCTGTTGGAGCTGTGGGGAGAAAGGGACCCTTCTCCACTGTTGGTGGGAGTGCAGACTGGTGCATCCACTATGGAAATCAGTGTGGAGATTCCTCAAAGAAGTAAAACTAGAAGTTCCATTGACCCAGCTATTCCCCTTCTTGGTATCTTCCAAAAAGAATTAAAGCATCATACCACAGAAATATAGGCACACCCATGTTTATAGTGGTACAGTCTATAACAGCTAAATCTTGGAAACAGCCCAATTGCCCATCAACTGATGAATGGATAAAGATTTTTTTATACAGCGAAGTACTATTCTGCCATAAAGGAGAATAAGCTTGAGACCTTTGTAGTTGAATGGATGCACCTTGAGTCCACACTCTTCAGTGAAATAGTTGGACACATATATTTAAATATCAAATGGTTCTCCGGTGTGAGAAGCTGAAAGGGTAAATAAGGACCAACGTATAAAATAGATTTTGTGGAAGAGGAGGACATTTTGTTGAGCGTCAGTACTGTACAGGGGTGCTTGCACCCTGAGAGCGCAGTGAGGGCCGGCACGTGCCAGCAGGAGCACCCTGGCTGTGGAGTGGACCAGAGGCCTAGGGCCGAGGCCAGAGTCACAGGCTTGCAGCTGAGGGCCTGGAGGTGAAGAGGTGGCAGCATGGCCTTGGCACGTGTTATGTTAGCCCAGCCCTGCTCCCGAGGGCTCCTTGAGGTCTATGCTGAGGAGGGGTTATGTGGTCGCTGGGGGGTCCTGAGGCTACGAGGCCAGGCCGTCTGGCCCCAGCCCCGGGCTCCTTATGCTGTGCCCATGACTGCACTGTGTTCCCGAGCAGTGTCAGGACTGCGGAGGGTCTTGGACTTGTAGCCCAGGTGGGCGTAGCAGGTCAGTGCTGCCTTCTGAGCCTCAGTTGCAAAATGAAAAGCTGGACTTAGCCCTTGCAGCTCTGGGTTCTCAGCCCTGAGATCCCGAAGGACTTCAGTGTGCATCTCTGGGCGGTCTGGAGGGCAGGAGTCTTGTTGTCATCCATGGGTGCGGTAGAGAGCACCCCTCCTGGGGGAGAGGGTCTGGCTGTGGTCTGCACATGGAGGTCTCAGGCTCAGGCCTTCATCCCTGCGTGGATGGCTGGGGAATGATGCCATGGTTTTAAATATGGTAGCAGAGGGAGCACATGCACAGCAGCATGGCAGAGAGGAGGAAGTCCCGGAATGCCTCGTGCCAAGGCCCTGAGGTGGGCTGTGCTTGTGTGTTCAAGGAGGAGGATGGCTGCCAGATGTGCCGGGCCTCAGAGACCAGGAGGGATCATCTGGGTGGGTGCTGAGGCTGGGTGGACGCAGCGAGCTCCTAAAAGCTACCAGGGGAGGGAGGCCTGGTCCCAGGGCATTGGTGGGGACAGGGGTGGTGCCGGGAGGCTGGATTTCAAAGGCAGAGCCTGCGTGGACCAGGTGGGGACAAGAGAGGGAGATGGGGCTAGGATGGCTCCCAGGCTTCAAGTTAAGCAACTAAGGACTGAGTGGATCAGGGAGGCTTTCGGGACAAGGGCGAGCAGTTCTCCAGTTCCAAGAATCAGGGCACCCATGCGGGGCCTCACGGCAGCGGGGGACATGAGGGCTTCCTGGAGACTCACGTGGCAGAGCCAAGAGCACTCGGGAGAACATGTGGTGCTGCGCAGAGGAACGGTGGCCCTGGTGCTGCTTGGCTGCCCTGAGCCCCTTTGAGTCTGTTTTGGGTGGGGCCGCCAGGCAGGGCGCTCTGGACTGCATGGCCGGCCTCGCCCCTGGTCTGGACAGTCTCACTGCTGCCTTCCCACCCCTGGAGTTTCCATTTGCCCTGGAAGCCGTTGCAAGGTCTATCGGCTGCAGCTGCCATCTGAGTGGGGAGCCCGGCTCGGACAGGGGGCGAACTTCACCAGCTGAGGGAGGACAGCAGGAGGCGGTAGACGGAGCTCTGGCCAACTGGTGTGAGCACAAAGGGCCGGGGACAGGGCTGGGTGACCCCGATGCAGTGTGCAATCTGCTCCCTGCACGGCTGACTTCAGCAGGTTAGGAAGGGTGTGGGTCCCCAGGCCCTGAGGGCAGGCTGCCTCCAAGAGCCCTGAGCTCCAGGACCTGGCTCTTGCTTCACTGTCAGCCAGGGTCTGTGGGGGAGCTTTTAATGTGGCCAGCTGCTGTGGCCCCAGCCATCCCCTCAGCCTGGCTTGGCCATTCCCAGCTGGTCACCATGAGGTGTCCACTGCAGGGTGATACTGGGAGCCGAAAGCTGGCTCTGGCCTAGGATGCTGGGGCCACCTCGCTACTGCCCCACCTTTTTCTGAGTCAGGAATCAGGGTGGATGGAGAGCAGCAGCTGGCAGCTGGGACCCTACTCACTGGTGCCAGTTAATGGTTGCAGGGTTTTGTGAGTGCTTAGGATGTCTTGCTCTGCCATGTGGATGTGTTTCCTGGGAGGCTGGGACAGTGGACCCCAGGGAGAAGGGCAGGGTCTGGGTGTGCCCAGCATGGAGGGCTGCCTGCTGGGCTCTGCAGTGTGCAGAGAGCCTGTGCGCTGCCCCTCGTGGGCCACCCCGCCATGCTGTTGAGCGGAGGAAGCATGGCTGGGAAGCCTGCTGTAGTTTTGGCCTGAGGAACACGTTACATTTGGGGGCCCCGTGGTAGTTAATGACGAGCTGCTAATGGCTGTTTTGCAGTTGGCCGTGTGGGAGCCTGTGCTCTGGGAGCTGGTGGGTGGCCCCTGGCGCCGTTGGACAGGCCCAAGCCTTTACCTACTGAGGACGTGGGGCTGGAGCGGAACAGGTGGAGGTTGGGGTGGGGCTTTATCTGCAGGCCACCCTGAACAGCTCCCTACCCTTCAGGGGTGATACCAGGAGGGTCCTGCCTGTCTTCTCCTCTAGGGGTGGTGCAAGGGTGACCCTGATCTCTGGAGAGGGGAGGGGGCGTAAGTAGAATCAGGATGTGCCACATATGGGATCCTGATAACCTCACTGCAGGTAAGCAGTGTATGCCGCCCTGTGAGCTAAGATTAATGATACCAACAGGAATGAAAATGGAATGGGCGGAGGGGAAAGGGATTCATGAAAAAAGAAACATGGTGTGTTGTGCAGATGTGCCCAGTCTCCAAGGTGGCTGTAAATTGCACGTACTACAAACATGCACTATAAGAAAAATTTCAAAAACATAATAAAAAGACAGGGCTAAGGACAGCGTAATTACTACCGCAGCTCAGGGATGCCTCTCCCAGTTGGGATTTGAAGAATGAGTAGGAGTTTGTCAGGAAAATTCCATAGGAACAGTAAAGGACAGGAAATTAACTGCGCTCAGGAGGTGTCCTGTGGGACGAGGCTCAGGGGCAGCAGCAGACGACATGGTGGCTGATGTGGCAGCTCCAGGTTGGGCCTGGTAGGAAGAAGAGGGTGAGAGGAACTGGGAGGTGGGGCCCGAGCTGCAGTGTCTTGGCTGCTGTCATTTCTGGAGAGAAGGAGACTGAGACGCGTGGAGGTCACTCGGGCTTTTCCAGCACAGTGGGAACGAGGTGTCAGCCTCTGCAGACACCCAGGTGGCCGGCAGAAGGCTGGCACTGGCCTGGGAGGGGCCGCTGGCTACTACTGACCCCAGCCCCACCTGCAGGAACCACGTGTCCAGCGGGGGCTTGTTCTGGGCCCCGACGCGGGCAGCGTCACCCTTCCTCTGCAGAGGGCTGGTTCAGGGTTCAGTGCCTCTTCCCCACGTCATCTGTGGCAAACACTAGTTACAGTGCAGGGACTTGAACCCAGGGCCTTGTGCATGAGGCAAGCACTCTACCTCTGAGCTGCACCCCCCACCACAAACCCCACAATCACGATGTGAAGACAGATAGCCCTGATCGTGCTAAGCTCTGTACCTCCGGCATACGGCTTGCTGCCATAGGGAAACAGGTTAGGAGCAGAGCCTTGATGAACGTTCTCATTTCCTGTGTGAGCAAATGGAGCCTGAAATATTAATGGCCAGGGTTTCCCATGTCTTTCTCCAGGAGAGTTTGAGCAATCCATTCCCTGCGTGCTTAGGATGGAGCCCACTCACACACCACCTGAAAGCCTGTGTTATCTGGGGTCCCCTGCTTTTGTGTATGCGGATGAAGGCTCTTTTGAAATCTCAGAGAGAATCGTGATCAGCTCTTGACTTTGTTTTTCCAACTGTTTGCCTGTCCTGGGGAATCTGGGAGTCCTCGTCCTGTTTTGAGGTCAAAGGCTGCATGCTCTCTGTTTTACTGTGTCACCCCTCTTTGTGAATGAGCTGTTTGCTTTAGCAGCTGGCTCATGCCCTGTGTGTGCTCTTTTTCCTGCAGTCTTTCTGAATATCGAAGCATTGCTGCCTCCTGTGGGAGTTCCCAAGTATCCTGCAGACCCGGTGAGAGGCGTCTCGTGCCTAGAGATTCCAGGTGAGTGGGATGTGTTGGGGTCCCCGGGTTGTCTTGCCAGACTAGCCCTTCGTGTAGGAATTTTAGCACGCATGCTAAGTGGCAGCTGTGTGAGGAGTTAGACCTGCAGGGTCCTCTCCTTCTAACAGAAGCATCAGCACAGTGGACACTAATATTTAAAATCATTCTGTTTTTACAGATTTACAGTAATGGTTGTTCCTGTGCCTCTGTAGGGATTTGTTTCCAGGAATCCGTACAGATACCAAACTCTGAGAATGCCTGGGCCCCTTATATAAAATGGCATAGTATTTGCATAGAACTTGGGCAGTCCTTCCATTTGTTTTAAACCACCTCTGGATGACTTCTGAGACCTCATACAATGCAAGTGCTATGGAAATAGCTGTTATACTATACTATGTAGACAAAATGACAAGAAGAGCCTGTATACACATTTGGTGTGGACGCAGCCACCATAGCCCTAATTACACAGTGTATGGAGAGGACTCAGGATCTGTGAGTTGCACGGGGTGCAACAGAGGGGTCTGCCCACCCATCACAACATCCTGTGGACCCACAGTGGTGCTCGGTGTGCAGTGACTTTTTGGAACTTGCTGGAGAAAAACATGTTCCATCCATGTTGATTGAATCCATATCCATAGATGTGGAGGACAAATGTATTTAGAGAGAAAGACAGGCAGGAGAACCAGCCTTGCAATGGCCCAGCAGTAGACATGTATCTCCTGTGACCCTGTTGATCCTGTCTATGGGAGCCACCCTGGCCCTTCCCTCTGCTGCCCCAATACCTCCTATCCTCTGTGCTGCATTCCTGGGGGACCCTTCCGGTCACTGGTGATGGGGCCTGGGCATCCAGGTGGCCCTGGGAGTTCAATCTGCATGGCAGCTCCTTCAAGTGCAGCCACATGTCATGTAGCAACATCCTGGTCCACATGTACTGCGTGCCCAGCAGTGGCCACATAAGGTTAATTCCTACATAATTCCTACTGCTAGCAACATTGTAGCTGTTAACATCACAGGTGATACTGGTGTAAAAAAATCTATTCTACCACCAGTCATGTAAAAATATAGCACATAATTATGCATAGGGCAGAATAACTTGAGAAAGATAATTGTTATTGCTTGGATCTGAATGTACCCCAAAGGCTCAAGTGTTAAAGGCTCGTTCCCCCACTTGATACTATTGGGATGTGATGGAACCTTTAAGTGGTGGGTGGGGCCTAGGGGGAGGAAGAAAGGTCTTTGGGGGCGTGGCCTTGCAGGGGATTCTGGGACCTCATCCCCTTCTTCCTATCTTTCCTTCACATCCTGGCCATGATATGGAGCAGCGTTGTTCCACTGTGGGCTCCTGTCATCTGTGATATGCTGCCTTGTCACAGGCCCAGAAGCAACGGGCTGACTGACCACAGATAGAAATATTCAAAAGGATAAGTCAAAATAAAACCTTGGACTTCATAAGCTGATATATTTTTGTGGTAACAAAAAGCCAAAAACAATAAATGACTCTGTTAGTGGTTTATATATTTACTATACTATATTTTTATATGTCTTTAAGAATGTACTCCTTGTATTTATAAGAAAAATCAGTTGATTATAAAGCAGTGTGTCCTGTTCCATTTCATGTGTACTCCATGTGTTGATCACATCGGCTTTGCCACGATTAATTTAATCTTGTGTTTTGTTCATCATGGCTCGCTAGCCATGGGCTCTATCATGGGTATGTAATGTACACGTGCTCATGCACACCCGCTCCAGACAGCCTAGCCTTACTTCATCACTCTGAGACGTTCCCACAGTGAAGCAACCACCGGATGACCTGCTTCTCTGCAGGAATCTCCATCATTAAGTGATGCGTGGGTGTTTGTTGAAGCTTTTAAGGAGTAGCAGCGGCAATCTTCATTCTCCATGGACTTCAAGGTGCAGAGGTAGCTGCAGTGACTCCTCCGATGTCACCGCTGAGGCCATGGAGAAAACAGGCTGTTGTTCACACTCAGGAGTGGTAGAACTGGAGTTTGGACTCTTGCCTTCCAGCTCTAGAGCTTTCAGCCACACCTGTCACGGCACCAGGCCCTGTCCTGGCTGCTGGGGAAACTAAGGCAGCTAAGACTGGCCCGTGCTGGATTTGCCTTCGCAGCCTTCTAACCAGGCCAGCACGAGCTCTGCCATGAAACACGCTTTCCACCTTCGCCTTTGTCATGGCCCACTGTCTCCATCCGCTTTTTCAAATTTATTTTTATTGGGCCAGATTACTGCATATACATATGTTAGAAGTTGGTGGAAAAATAGCAGGGGATGCTATTGACTTTCCCATATAATCCCGGCTCCCCCATGCCCCCGTTTACCACTTCCAGCTTTCATAGCTGTTTCTTCCGGAACTTAGCTCCATATTTGTAAGAAAACATGTAGGCACTGATTTATGTGTGTGCATGGGGCTGAGGACTGAACCCAAGGGCCTCATGAATGCTAAGCAAGTGCTGATGACTGAGCTGCATCCCCAGCTTGCAGTCGTGTTTCTTGACTATCTGTTGTTATAAAGGTGATTTAATGTATATATTTTCCTGCTTAGAGCTGCTGCAACTAACCGACGCAGTTATACTCTCTTTCTATATTAAATCTTTATATAGCATGTATTAGTCAGGAAAGGGCACATCAAGCAGCAGTAACAAACATCCCCCAAATCCAAGCCATGGGAATACCTTGTCTTACTGTGCTTCATTGTGTTGTGCATTGCATGCACTGTTTGTTTTTAATTGAAGGTTTGTGGCAACTTCATACTGAACAATTCTATCAGTGCCATTTTCCCAATGGCTCAGATGATCATTTGCATTTTTTTAGCAATAATTTCTAATTAGGGAATATCTGTTGCACTTTTTTTAGATATAATGTTATTGCACACTCAATAGATACAGTATAATGTAAATGTAACTTTTATGTGCACCGGGAAATCAAACCGTTCCTTTACCTCGATGAGTTTTGATATTTACTTTATTGCAGTGGTCTGAAACGAAACCCACCGTGTGTCTGAGGTTCGTCTGGATTTTGTTTTCTTCGGAGAACGAGGCCACGGCCTCCTGATGCAGGGGTGGGGCAGAGACAGATGGGGCTGTCATGGTCGTCTGGCGTGGGGTGCTGGGGGAGAAGCAGTGGTTTGGGACTGGCTGTGTCCCGCCTTGCTGTCCCTTTCTGGGGCACCCTTCCCCTCCCTCTGGCTGCCAGGGTCTGACTGCTTCCCCCGTCCAGTGGCCCTTCCTTCTCCATCGTCCTGTTTCCATGCTGCTGTCCCCATTCTTTGCTCTTTTGGGGTCTGGGAGGGGGGCGATGGTGGGCAGACAGCGGCTTCTCCTGTGCGTGTCTCTTCCCTGTGGCTTTGCCCTCATGCCCACTCCGGTGCTTTGTCCGCTGTGAATTTTCAGATCCAGATTATGTTTCTGTGTCTTGTTCTCTGTGTTGTTCCTTCCTCAGACCTGGAGGCCGGCCTTGTGCCGTCCCTCTTCTGGCTGCGAAGGCCCCGAGTGCAGGCCTTGCCTTCCCCGCCCCACGTTCTCAGGCTCACGGGGGAAGGGCCCGGTGTCTCAGCATTGAATAGCGTTGTCTGTAGGTCTTTTGTTAAAAAAAAAATAGGGCTGGGGATTTAGCTCAGTGGCACTGCTGCCTGCCTTGCAATCGCAAGGTCCTGAGTTTGATTCCTGGTCCAAAAAAAAAAAAAAAAGGTAAATTTGTATAATGAAAAATTAATCATTTTAAAAACTGATACACAAAAAAGTAAAAATTACATGTATTAATGAGGTACCATGTGTTGCTTTGATGCATGTATCAAATATTCCTCTTTCAACATTTATCATTTCTTTATGGGAAAATACTGAAAATTCTTGTTTTCATTAGCTTTTTGAAATAGACCATACCTCATCATTCTCTATAGTCATCCTCCTGCAGGGAAGCGGCCGGAAGTTTCTCCCTCCTACCTGGCTGTGACGTAGCATCCACTCACGGACCTTCCCCCGCCCCGCACCTCTCCCACTCTCTCCTACTTCTGCCACCTCCGTTCTACCTCCAACTCCTATGAGATCCACTCTTGTGGATTCCACATATGGGGGAGATCAGTCGGTATTGTTTTTCTGAGCCTGGCTTATTTCTCTTAATGTGCTGATCTCCAGTTCCATACACTGCAAATAGCAGGATATCATTATTTTTTTGTGCTAAATGATATTCCATGGTGTGTATGTGCTGTGCTTTCTTTATTCATCCCTACATTGAACCATTAGCCGTTTTAAACATTTCATGCATTCGCAATGCTCTGTGACCATCATTTCTCTCTGGTTCTAAAACTTTTTCACCGTCCCTGAAGGAACCATTCATAAGCATTAAACAGCTGTTTTTTTATTCCTCCTCTTCCCCCAGTCCCTGGCAGCCACCAGTCTGCTTTATGTCTCTATGAATTTACCTATCCTAGATGTTTTCTGTAAATTAGAAATCATACAACTTGTGACCTGCCTTTTGAGTCTGGCTTTTCTGACTTCACGTAATGTTATTACAGCTCTGCTGGTGTGGGTGAGACAGCGTGGCCCTGGGGGCTAGAGCCCAGGGCTCCCTTCCTGTGGTTCTGAAGCAGGTGTGCCAAGCCTCTCCTGCTTTGTTCTGGAGAAGGGTCAGGGTGTGATTCAAGGGATTCCTGGCCCTCCCTCTGCCAGAGCCACCAGCGGGTGTTTCCTGGCTCTTCGAAATGAGCCCTTAGTGGAGATCTTGGAGATAAAGCCCTAAAGCTTGGAGGCTCCTAAGACTGTAGCCCCAGCATTTTCTCACTGTCACCTGAGTCCACACTCAGCACCCAGCAGTTTGTTGACATCACCCAGACTGGCTCTGGCGGCTCTGCTGCAGGTCAGCAGATCGCACAGGTGACCTCTTGCTGGTCTCTCTAGATCTCAGGGTGGCGATTAGCCAATGCAGTGTACTGATGGGCCCGAGAAAACTCACTGATTTTCAGATTGCCCAGCTTTGTCTTGTCGCGA